CACCAAGTATTAAGTCCTATTGTTCTATGGATCAAATACTTATTTCATGAGAAAATATGATAATAAATATATAAAATTTGTGATATTCTGTCTCTCAACGTTAAAACGTAACTATGATTAAAATTATACACAGTTCCATTCTTTGTAAGTGGGCAAACCTGCAAAATCAGCAAGGGATCAAATAATTATTGCTCCCACTGTATATATAAGTTTTGGTACCTGTTGCGGTGCGGCAGGGTCACTGTGTAGAGCTGTTCAGTTGGAAGGAGGTTTCCACACCGGAGACTGGACGGCAGCATTACAGATGTAATACTGACCACAGCCTCCCAGTCCTCTGTGGACTACACACACATACACACACACACACAGAAGGCTTAGTTCAAAAGACTTTCAATTAGCTCTTCAATCTTTTAGGTCATGGTCACACACCTCAGGTTCGTAACGGATCATGATGTCATACTCCATGGCGTAGGGGATGTTGTCGATAGTGAACACCAGGCCGGCACCATCTTTGACGCGGGCAAAACCAGGTCCTGTCCACGACACCATGTGGCTGGGAGTGTGCTCTCTATGAACTGTCCTCACATCGGGCTGAGAGACAGATTACCAAAGAAGAAAAATTATTTTCTTTTTTAACTATTAAAACTGCTACTTCATACCATACTTAAACAATTTCTGTTTCCCCTTTACTTTCCACTTTCTTCAGGTATGTGTGCTCTGCATTGGAGGCCTCTGGAATACAAATTTTACACAAACTTCCTGCAGTTATTGTGTTCACGTTGTGCAGTTTTTCAGTTATTATATCATATTATTATTAGTTAGGGGTTGTCAGTTTGGTCAATGATAAAAAAGGGAACCCCTTAAGGAAGACGTTGGGGACCACTGGTTTAGGAGAAGATGGGCCTAAACAGGTCAATCTCCACACCTTCAAAATTAACAGCTTCACAGCTTCCTTGACATCAGAGCAGTTTCTTCATCACTGGCATTATTTCCAAAACCAGGCAATGAAAATTGTAAATAATTATACTTTTCCTTTTAAGAATGTGGCACAGAAATTCTATTGAATTTTTATCCTTAGTCATAATGTCACACCAACGCGATTACAGTTGTGGTCTCCATTAGGATTCAGATCCTTTGGGTCTCTGGACTAATATCCTTACACTGCTACAGATTCACAGGTCTTTTTTTCAGCTTGACTAGCTTGAAATTACTGAAATAACTTGACAGTCAAGCATTTAATTAGGTTAAGCAGCTTCAAACAAGTGGTGCATACAGCACATGACCACAAAACTGTAAACATTTGAAATATTAGGTTATTTCACCTCGTCAGGCCCCAAACTGTCCTTATAATGAGACAAATCCAAAAAAATGTTACACAAAGGCCATAACCTGTGATTAGGCATATTTTAGGGGTCACAAGTCAAAAATGTTGGGAAGCACTAATGTTTCTTGTCCAGTTGCTGGCTGAGTTTACTATTTTGCCTGCAAATAAGACATAAGTAAGAGCACTTATTTCCAAAACTGTGGAACTGTACTGGAACTGTTAGTGTTCCCACTCCACTAAATGAAATTTGTAAATCAATTGAAGCAAATATCCTACTGTTTGTTGAAGCTGACGGATACGTCTCAGTGCTGCCCGATGTTGCTGCGAATTGGTAATGCGACGGTGACGCCGATGCCTCCTCAGCTGGTTGCTCAGGTGCTGGACACAGTCAGTCTCTGCCTGTGGACGAACTTTGCCCTGAGAGGAGAAAGGAGGAGGAGGAGGAGGAAGAGGAGAGGATTCATGCCTGTTTTCGATCACACATAGAACTTTTTACAGCAACCCTTCCCACAACCTACAGGGGTTCATCCTGCACAGCTTTCTCGTTCCAAAAGTGAAGATGACAAAACGAATGAAAAAAAAAGGCCGTGCTGTGCTAAAACTGCCGAAGCGTGACAGAAAGAATCAAAGAATGTGAAGCTGGGAGTGTGTTTTTCTCTGTGTGTGTTGTACATGTTAGTAAGTCTGTGTGCTGCGCGGCAATAATTAGTTGTGACAGGCTGGTATCTGTGCTACTGTCTGGTGTTTTTATGGGTCACTTCAGCTGTGGAGTTTGGATTCTGCACCGAAATGCAGGACTTTGATTGTATCCTGCATATACATGCATGTACACTCAATTTCCATCCCTAAAGACAATAGCGTCCTTTGTCAAAGACACACCTCCTCTGGCTTGCTGTCTTGCACTGTTGCCTTTTTTACTCAAAACATCCTGAAGTCAATACTTGCCTTTTTTCCACATTCCTGGAGCAGTGATGTTGTAAGCAGGGGTGCCTGAGCTTGCCCGAAGGGCTGAATGGGGAGGCGGAGGGTGCAAGGGGTCTCCTTAGAGTGGAGAGGACAGGAGGGCCGCGAAGGAGACTGAGACAGTCAAGAATGTAGGAGAGAGGGCGAACAGACAGAGATGAAGGATAGACAAGTAGATGAGGAGACTGATAGGTGGATAAGATGACAGCAGGAGCAGGCCTGTCTCCTTGTTGTAACAGGTTGGATGGGGGGGGGCTTAAAGGGAATATTAATATAATTTAAGGTGGGTTTTAAGTAAATAACCTTCACTGGTTTAACAGGTAAGACATTTTTTGAGCATTATTTTGTATATACCTGTTAACAGTTAGAAAATGTTGTGTGATACGATTCAAAATAAACATGGGCTCATATCTGAGAGTGATAAATATAGGCAAGGGGAAAAGATACGTTATATAAGGTTCTTTATTCAGTACAGCTGTAAAATTAAAAAGAATGGGGCTAACTAAGGACAATAGATGTTGGAAGAGAACTCAATAGACTCTGCTTCATGCTTTGTGGGTATTTTCTGTGTTAAAAATAAAGAGAGAACTTAACTGATTTAGCATTGCAGGCCTATAACATTATTGTTCTTTGTCAAAACCTCATGCCTATATTATTACTCACAATGCAACTTAACCACTGACAGGGTGCTAGTATCTGCTAATGTAGCCTGTAGCCTGCAGCAGAGATGAGGAGTGGGCTATGGAGGTCTGGTAAGTTCACTTCTCTCTAACTCCACTCCTCCAGATTGCACACAACTCCCTCTGGAGACACAAAGACTTTATATAACTTTTTTCACATATACAGTAGTATTGCCCAACACCTGGAAACATACATTGATGTGTAAGTATATTGTGCCACTTCTCTAACGTACTTGGATTGAATCAAATACAGGCAAAATCTACCCGCATCTGGCACTGTTCATTTCAGACCCAGTGTATGGGTCATGTGGCAATGATCAGTCCGAATAGGCCATTATTTAAACATGAGAATTATAAAGGAATATGGAATACATCTGAAGGGAATTAATTGAATCAGTCTGTAAAGTTAATTCAATGATGTTTGTGTTAGCCTTTGGGTTAAATGTATAAAATGATAGATGTGGACAAAGTAATTGTAGTGTGGGTTAATGAATTGTAATCCAGGTACATCAGCGTGTCCATAATGGCAAAATGTAAAATATTATATAATATAAGAGAACAAAAGGGGAGCGCCTTGGTAGCTGAATGGTTGTAGTCCAGTGTAACTTTATAACCACATAACCCCAAACTCCAGAGTTCGATTCTGGCCTGGGAACTGTGTTGCATGTCATACCCCCTCTCTCATGCTATATGATTGTGATTTGTGATCACTGTTTTAGATTTAAACTAAAAAAAACAAAAACAGCAATGCTTTAGTTGCCTGTTTTAGTGGTAGCTATAGGTACAGTATAGGGACGAGGGATGATAATGAAACTTATCTTCATCACCACTGCATCTAAAGTCAGCCAAACAAGCCCACCCTTTTAAATCCCCACACAAAGACAACCTTGATGGAGTCAGAATAACATGAAATCTCCTTCTGTTACAGTCATAACATTATCCTAGACTGCTCAGTGTGTGCGATTTACAGAAGATAGACATAAGAAGACGTTTATTTTTTATACAGAGCTATTTTGTCCATGATCTCTGTGTTTACTTCCTGAGGGATAAGGCTGGACCATACAGTGTTTCAGAGATTAACACTGCAGCACAGACTTACAGAAAAACAGGCTTTTAAATCAAGGACGCTACTAGCTGATTTGAGGTACACTCCACTTTATAAATGACTTACAGGGAATAAATAGTTCAACATTTTGGGAAATACGCTTATTCACTGTGATGATCGGAGTTAGATCAGAGGATCGATACCACTCTCACGTTGTCTGTTAAATATGAAGGTAGAGCCAGGAGACAGTTAGCATAAAGACTGGAAGCAAAAGGAGCTAGCAAGGTTCTGTGTAAAATTACCGTCTCGACATTAGTTCTTGACTTATGGTTTGTGACGTCACATTGCTGGCGTTTGAATTATAGTGACCTGAAATATGAACTAGTAAGCTAATGTAGCAGCGTGCTCACCGGCAGTGCAGAGTCACCAGGGGAGTGTCCGGTGGCATCTTCGGCCTCGTATTTGTAGTAGTCCAGTGGAGCACAGAAATACCCAGGCTGAACCTCTGAACACTGCCGACCAATCAGATGCCTCCTGCAGTCACACTGGCCGTTCTCCATCATGCACCTTGCAGTAAAAACGAAGACAAACTTTAAGCTTATGACTCACCTTCCCCTCCTCTTCTTTCTCTCTTGCTCTCTTTGTGCTTTTCACTCAGGAACAGACTGAATGATTCACAGCCTGACTTCATGATGAATAAACCATTCTTAGGAAGCATATGTTTAAAGATAGAGACGTTTAACAAAAACAAACAAACAAAAATCTATACCTGTTGTTGAAGGCTCCGCCAAAATCACAGTCACATGGTCTGCAGCCGGCCAGATCGTTACTGAGCCCCCAGTATTCAGGCTACAGGGGTACAGGGAGATACACCTCAAAACCAGGATGCACAGTGACATGTCTAGCATGTTGTTTTGACAACCTGCACTGTGTTGAAACTCTGGTGTACTTGTACAGCTTTTGCTTTTGCTACTATGGAATGCGCTCCTTTATCAGTGCTGCCAAGGTACTTATATGCTATTGTTGTCTGATGAAAAGAAACCCTCCACTTCAAAACTGAGTCCCTACTTTGATGGTGTGACAAGGTGACACAGTTCAGGTCTGGTCTGATCAGGTTGTTTTCTCAATTGTGCAAAAACAGCCTTACTCTTTCTTTCCTTTGGTTTTCTTCTTTAAATATGCTTTATTTACCAACGCTAATCATAATTCTATAAGAAGAGCAGCTGTTACTAACCAGACACTGGTTGCAGTAGCGTCCGGTGACATATCTTTTGCAGGAGCAGTCCCCACTGATCTGGTCGCAAGGAGTTCCCATCATGATGATGCCACGAGGGTCACAGTTGCAAGCTGATGGAGACACACACACACACAAAAGAAGAAGATAGTTATTTACAGATCTGAAATACAGATTATGTGGGTTTTATATTCTAAAACATCAGAGATCCTTTTTCATCCCTGTTCAAACACGAAGCGTTTTCAGCGGCAGACAAACACACATACGTACGCTGACAACCCAGCGGGTCGTTCTGGCTGAGTCCGTAATAACCTTCCTTGCAGTCGTCGCAGCGCGTGCCTTTGACGTTAGCTTTGCAGCGACACTGTCCTGTGATCATCCCCATGTCTGGGTCTGTGTGGCTGTCGCATACTCCTCCCTCCAATGATCCCACTGGGTCGCAGTCACAGGCTAGAGGTCAGAGGCCAGATGGAGAGCGAGACAGTTTATTTGTTTATATTTATTTCAAACATGTCAAAGAAAAAAGGACGAAATTATGTTAAATTGAAATGAATCAATAAATCTTCATAAACAAAATAAAAAACAAAATAAATCTTCAATTTTCATCGTAGCTCTTCATCATTCTAATAGTGTACCTCTGGAACATATATATATATATTTTTTTTATCTTCTTGAACTGAATAATAATTGGGATTTGTTTGCAACTCTTTAGTAGGTAAAGCGGGAAAAGAATGCAGGATGGGGAAACTTTAATAGAAAGAGAAGAAGAGAGCAATGGGCCTACACAGGAAACAAATGATCTCAACCCACTAGCAGATTTTCTCCAAATGTTTCATGGAAAAGAAGATTTTTATACCCAATACTGGACTTGATTTAGATTGTACGTCACAGCTGGAATTTCTTTTTTAAAACAAAACCAAACACACAAGTAACTCACCAACACAAACCCGTGGGTCCCTGATATCTCTAACAGGGTCTTGGTAGTAGAAAGGTTTGCACATCTCACAGTTGCGCCCCATGGTGTTGTGCAGACAGTCGTCGCACACTCCTCCGCTGATGTTGGCAGTGGCAAAATACACCGCCATGTCAAAGTGGCATTGGCTTGAGTGGCCGTTACAGTTACACTCTGGAGCAAGAAATACAACAAAGAAACACTTATACGCACATCAACGTTACCTGTGTGCAACAACTCTCACATGTGCTTGTGTGTGTGTGTGTGTGTGTGTGTGTGTCTTCTCACCTCTGCAGGTGTGTGGGTTCTCCGCCTCTGCTGGTCTCCATGGCAGGTCATTGTGGAAATCTCTGCAGCGCTCGCAGTTCAGGCCCTCTGTATTATGTTTGCATACACAACGACCGTGGATCTAATCAAAAAATGATGAGCAGAAAGGTTAGTAAAACTGAAGTTTCTGTTGATGATTACAGATTACAGGATTGCAGTAAAAATTATTTTGTACCCAAAAAAAAAAAAAAACCACCTGTGGTTTTGCTAATGCTAATTGTGAAATGGATCAATTGGTAAGGTCTGGACAGGTTGTATCTTGTTGTACATGTTGTACAGTGTCAGTCAAGCCCCTATGAAAGAGCTGTTTCCTCGGATTGGGGCTTTCTTCAGTCAAGCAGAAGTAATGTGGGTAATGTGCACTTGTGTGCCAGTACCACTGAAAAATGGGGACACATTTTTCTAATATATGTTTGGTATTTTAATAAATCGTAATATATATATATATATATATAAGGCATTAGTTACTTCTTGAAGTCTCTCTCCTGACATGCTACTAATTGCTCTTGTGTGCACACTTTACCTCATCACCCATTAATACAATATTACGTTTTATTTGTTTTTCTTAATTTTGAAAAGAACTGTAGACGGCAGAGGAAGTACAACTGTCTTTGTCCTGACTTCTGTATGTGATATAAACTTCTGTCTGAAAAAAACGAATGTTTATCATGAGCTCACCATGCCGTTCTCCCGGACGTCAACCCCCGGCACTGGAGCGCACTCTGAGGCGTGTCCGTAACAGAAACAGCTCCCTCGAACCACCAGCTCGTAGATTGCGTAGTAATACTTCTGCAGGACATCAAAACGGCGGTCCAACAGGTCGTCTCCCAGAGTGTTGAGCTTGGTGAAGTTGATACGCAGGTTGGTGATACGCAGAAGTTCTTTAAAGGAGAAAAACAGATCCATTAGGTTTGATTTGTGCATTATCCCATTTCATTATAAAGCTGACATTTTATTTGCATGCAAATATTTTGGACTGGTGTTGAGGGATATAGGAGCTTATAGCTTATAGCCTTTTTTCCTTGTGTTGTTCATACTTCTGGGAAGCAGTATTTTGTTTCAACTTATCGTATTATCTTAATGGGGAGGGAAAGTTAGCCTTTTCTTTACTGTCTTATATTCCAAAACTCAATGAATAATTCTTAAGTAATGTAACAAGAGGAGGGTGTGAAGCAGTGTGCAGTAGTTCAATTCAGACGGCAGAGATGGAAAAACTTTGGGCTTTTATCTGCAGCAGAAGACTATGTACTGTCCTAAATTTCAGTGGCTGAAATAACAGTCTGACATTTACTTTAAAAACCTTGGATGCATGCAATCCAGTTTTCTGTCTGTGAATAATTTCGAGGGGAAATTAGTAAGAGGAGGCAAACTGTGTTGTGCTGCTGTTGACAATTGTTCATATTCAGAGTTAAATGTCTTCACTGACCTTGAATGTCCAAGCTGTATGGGTCTTTCACATGAATGGCAGGATCCAATACTTTATAAATGACCTTGAATACAAGAAGATCATTTTTCAGATGCAGAAAGAGAGACATCTAGACAGTTCTGAGCTGGAACAAAAACTTGTTATTAAAGCTTCAGTTAATAAGTTGATGAATAAAACAGTTATAACACTAACTAGCTCCTTGCAGTTAGTGCATTTTTGGTTTTGGTGTTTTTATAGGATTTTTTGGGGAATATTGCTAGCCTCTAAACTGTCTCTCAGTGTATCACGTCTCAGCTATTATTGCTCCCAACAACTCTTCTACTTCTTACCTCTCCACGAGTGGAGGGTTCGATGTCGGAGTAGCGTTCCTCGCAGATGATATCATTGATGTGGTGCAGGCCGTTGGCGGGGATGCCCGGAAAGGTCTTGGTACAGTTTGACGCAAAGTAGCGGTAGGGGCGCCATGTGCGTCCGAAATCAGCCGAACGCTCGATGATCATAGCTGCAGGTCGGAAAGTCTGAGGAGGAAAATAGAGAAATAAAATTCAGTCCCTCATACACACAATGCTCCTTGTTTTCTGGTGTAATGTGGTGATTTCTTTCTGAAACAGCACATGGGGATTATAGTATGGCCTTTTAATATATGTATGAATATAAAATAGGGCAATCTGTAAGTAAGACTGATTTATCTGAACCTTTTGTTTCATGTTTGTTGTACCAACAGCAGAAGGATGGACTCAATACAGATGGAATGCAGCCATCTGATTTCCGAGCGTACACAACAAACACACACCGAGACAAGTGTGCACCCTGACATGACTAAGCGCATACAGTATAGTCAACAGAGGTCTGCAAACACACACATGTACACACTGGCTCCCACATGTAACAAAAAGTGTACATACCTTGAACTTCATGATGAGGTGTGTGAAGTGGAATTCGGCCTCCAGGTTCAGTGTGATGCTGACATTCTCCTGTCCTGTGGAGGAAATAACTGTCACTCATGTCAACGCAACGGATGTACAAGTCTCATCTCCTACAGTAACTGTCTGACTGAGTTACCCTTTGTCTTTCCTTGAAGAAATATCAGCGTTTTCTGATATTATTAATTGATTGATATTTATGATTCTGTTACAGTATAAGGGTACTTTTTCTGTTTTTCTTATATCACTGCATCTCAACAGTATTCTTGATTATTTGGATATAGACTATATATGTATAAGTTCGTTACCATCAGGACCTTTCTCTCAACAACACAAGAAGAACAACAAACATATTCCTCACACGCATATGCTCTCGTACATGGTGAACATCACAATGAACATGCACTTGTGTACTGTTGTAGAGTAAATATACGGAACAAATGCACACACACCGTTGACAGACTGCCACCAGGTGTTGTCTTCATTTCTGTCCATGAGGTAGATCACATTTTCGATGCGGTGGCTGTTTTTGTGGTGGTACGGGTCGTAGCGATGCCTGGAGTTACACTCAAAACATTTGTCGGATTCCTGTAGAGGCAGAAAACAAACATTTACACTTGTACAAAAAAAAAAAAAAAAAAACCGTGGGTGTTGCATTACATTAGTAACACACCTGGGGCCGAGCCACCAATCCGGGTTCTTCTTCCCATCAGTTGGGCTACGGCACACAATGCACATACCCTCACATAACTTCTCTTCACAGAAGAAAGCCATCTGGAGGAAACACTCTTTCTAGGCTTGGACTGACACCTGGGTACAACATGGGTAACACCAAGAACAACCGTGGTCCAAACCTTATCATATCCATTTCACCAGTATGCCACGTTGGAGG